TGACTCAGAAATACCGGGTTGGTGTCCGGCGGGGGATAGTTTTTACCATATTGTAGTTAAGTTGTAGTTAAGCATAACCTTGAGCCGTAATTCCTGGCCCCAAAACCTTGACTCAGAAGTACCGGGTTGGTGTCCGGCGGGGGATAGTTTTCCACCAAAGTTTTAACTGTTGTTTTTTTTTTTTGTTTTTTTTTTTTTTGTACGGTGCTGGTTACTTTTTGTTGTTATTGTACTATGTGTTTGCAGGACCATATTGTAAAACAGCGGTAAGATCTCGCCTGTATATGTTATCCTGCCTAAAATTTAAAAAAAAGAAATAAAAATAAATAAATAAAGTATGTAAATATTAATCGATCGTTCGTTCGTTGGTATGAATCACAGGAGCTACACATTTGGTTTTTAATGTAGCTTCTCTTAGCCAATACTCGCGTATAATCGATTCTAGATGCCGTTATTAATTGACTGCTGGAGCAGTCGTTGCAGGGTCACTGAAGCCCCCCCCCCCCATTTGGGTGAAGAGTGGCAAACGTACGTAAAGTAAATATTAATAAAACAATCAATGCATGTTCATGTATAAAATGTTATGGTTGTTCGGTATGCGCTTTCATGAGGACTATTTTTGGTGTGCATGGCACCAAGGATAATCCAATAATTTTGAAGAAGTGGGGGTCTTTCTGGTGGTTAATTGGCCAGTAAACCGGGAGACAATACTGCGTTCTTTAATGTGCAAATTGACAATATTGCACACGGGACCAGCGGGTTCAGTCTCATTCGAAAGACTATGCGCTATTGTAACTTGTATTTTACTAATCCAGCAGACACACAAGGAGAGCAGCAGATAGAATTGAACCGGGGACCAAACTATCTCGGTCCCCGGTTCGTGTGCAGTGCACACACACACACACACACACACACACACCCACGCACACACCCACACACACCCACATACACACAGTGGCTGCCACCAGTTTAGGCGCCTGAGCTCAGCTTGTCAAAAGGCATGATTATATTTGCATTGATAATTATATCTTTATTAGTTTAATTATATCGTAACACATTCGTAGGTCGAGCCAATACACTAAAATTGTAATGAATATATATGCCACAGATGTATAGGGACAATTACACATTATCGGTATTAATCCAAACCACCTTAGAAATGTAATACTGGAATAGGATATTATTAGAATGTATTAGATTTCTCAACAGCCATTAAGGGGGCGTTTATTCGATACAGGCGTTTTATTCTAAATGATGCTGTAGAGGGGCATTTGTTCGAGGGGGTATTTATTTAAAGCGAGGCGTTTATTCAAATAAATATGGTATAGATGGGCTTTTAAAAATAACTCAAAGGGGGCGCTATTTTATATTTGTATATGCTTAATTTTGTAGCTCAATAAGTTACTTACATGTGTAGGCAGCACCAAGGTGATAGTTACGGTAGTTATATTGATTATTGTTATGGTTGTGATCTTAGTGATACCGTTGATTTGATGGCGACGACGACAACGGCGTCGACGACGATGATGATGATAATGAAATATTTATTATTGTAAAATTGTGCAATACAATATTTAATATTTAATATACATTTCCATTCCATTTTAAAAGTAGACATGCCATCAACATAAGAAATGCATAGGAAATTTACATAGATTTTAGGTGTACAATGATCTACATAGATAAACTATTGCATAAATGAGGTAGTGATACTACAACTTGTCAAATCTGTTGACATGCCCAAAAGTCATAAGTCGAAGTATCAGAGGAAAACATTTCAGTTTCAGCAAAGCAAAGACCGCAATAGCATGTAGGTCGAGAATAAACACTACCAGAATTTTCTTATACTTAGAAAGAAAATGTATATTTCAATGGATTCTTCTGATCAAGTTGAAAACAGTCGAATAATTACAAACACAAAATACCGCACAATAATATACCTTTGTTTGTGACGGGATAAAATAAAAAGCAAGGTTAATTACTATGTTATGTTTTTTCTCCTACCGACAAGGGTAACACGGTGACAATAATAAACATCAATAACGTAAACCTAGATAGAACGTTAAAAACATAAATAAGGGGAAACTCAATAGAAATAAAGAAAATACTTCAACAAACTACCATCCAATTTTATTGTAAGAATTCACATGTGATTTAATCCGTAATCCGAGGAAGGTAGATATGCTGATGGTAAGTTCGTCTTTTAAGTCGGGAGGAAACAAGTCCTATAAATTAGAAAAGTGATTGAAAAGATGCTACATAAAACAAAGAGTATGGTTTTACTGATGTGTAAATTTAAGGTGGTCATAGTGCCGAATTTAATAATTTATTGTAAATGTTGAGGAAACCAGTGAGTTCAGATATTATAAACACTTAGCGGCAAAGGCAACACTAATACAATAATCAGTCTATTTCCAACGAACACAAAAGTTCAGGTCTAAATAAAATTTAAATTAACTTCTTAAGGTTTGTATTTATTTATTTATACTATTTGAATTTATTATTATTCATTTGTTTTTTTATTTTGATGTTTTTATTAAATTAAATTTTTGAATGATCTGTATTTCCTTTGTTTAACTGCAATTTGATTCATTTACTGTATAAAGTATTTTGATGAAAATTGCAATAAAGTATTTCGTATTTCGTAAAGTATTTCGTACTTCGTAAGTATTTCGCATCTCGATGGGATATAACGATCCATACAGCCAACTCTGAAAGTGTATTTATATATTTATGTGTTTTTTTTTAATGGATTTATGGTATGATACCAGAAAGGAGTCATGCCTCTGTGATCGTATTAACCTCATATGTCTTTTAGTAGAATTATTAAAAATATGAGAAGAACCTATTCTTTTAACCTCACATCCGGATGACTCATATCTGTAAAGACTTTCAAGGAGGATGGCGGCAAAAGATTTGGACTTTTTAAGATACAGTTATGAAAAGAGTCACTTCCTATCGTTGGTATTTGATCAAATAATGCTCTATTGTAAAAAGTTCAACTATAACGTCAGTTCCACGGTTTCGATACTAAATATGTTTTGGGATTTTTACAGATAAAAAGAGAGTCAATTCAATAATTTGTATTTTCAGACTTCTTACTTGCCGTCATTGTTGCATTGTATATCTTAACATAAAGATGTCTGCTCTTACTCTAACATTGATATTGCTAGCGAGTGATTTTTTTAGTTGCCATGGAGCAGCATTTGCAACCTCAAATCCACGGGAACACGCTCATGAGTCAATTGTCAGCACATTTGGAGAGACAGTTATACTGCACTGCAGCGTTAGCAGTGAGATCTACCATAGCACGATTGTGCAATGGATATTTCAAGATGCCAATGAGGTCCTAACGCAAGGAAAGTTTTTGCAAACATTAAATGCTGACAAACGAAGTCGGTATTCTGTGAGTATAGGCAGCAATTTTGATTTACGAATAAACAATGTTCAGTCTAAAGACATAGGAACATATATATGCAGGTCAACAGTTTCCACTGGAAAGTATGAAACTATTGCAACAAGAGTGCTATTTGCAGACTCTCAGAAACACCACGAAGCACCAGTTATGGAGGAGCAAAATTTTCCAGAACATGTAGAAACGTCAGATATACCAAAAACCGGTGACATGATTACGAGAGACCCTCCTAAAAGTGGTGAAAACAGTCAAGGTTCTACAAGCAGCAGACATTACGACGCACTATCTGTCTTCGGTCTGATTTCAGGAATCGCTCTTATGATTGGTATTGTAGGGTCTATCGCATGGAAGAACGGAAAGAAAAGTGGGAGAAAGCATGTCGAGAACAAAGCCTCAGCTGAGGAACCTAAAAAATATGGCTTAAATGATTCAAAGTCCGAAGTACCGTTAAGGAACGGTCGGATGATGAGAGGGTTTGACAGTGACCCAAACCTTGTTAAAGCTAGTGGCTTCAAGTATTAGAACTTGCTTAATTTTTAAACACTGTTGGAGTAATGATGAACGTAATTGCATTTATTTACAGGCTCAAAAAGGTACAAGGATTTTTAAAATGAATAGTTGATATGTAGCATAACTACGGCTCACTCACTTAAAAATATCTTTAATATGTTACAAACCCGGATCTATATAAATATTATTATAATAGTTATTGTCGTGATATATTATTATTATTATTATTATTATTATTATTATTATTATTATTATTATTAGCCTATTAATAATAATAATAATAATATAATAATAATAATAATAATAATAATAATAATAATACCTGTACTATGTTGTTAAAATTTAGTATAAAAGCTACTGTATTTAACAGAAATTTGCTTTTTATCCAATTAGGACATTGTTCTAATAAATAAACTATTTGTGTAAAACAACATTCTAGCACTAATAGGCCTAGGCCTACATTTGCTCAAAGTTGTCTAATGCTTTGTCTATCTTCATCGAGGTTATACAAACGCGGAAATAAGATTTCTTTCGTTATTGTCTTACACAATACCATACCAAACGGAAATACCAACAGGGCAGCCTATGAAATTGCAAAAATTGTCGCCTCAAATTAGATATTGTCGTTCAGTTGAATAACAACAATTATCAGTAAAACGTGTAAACACTAACTCGTTGAGGAAAATTGATCAAGCACAAACTAGTAGTCGAACAAAATGAGGGATGTGTTTTTACTATTTCTAGGCCTAACATTGTGCAGTGGTGTGCGTTTCAACACAGCATCCGCACCGGAGAAGGTTGTGAAAGCATTTTCCGGCAAGACAGTAACGTTTGACTGCATGGAGCCTCCTGCAAACGTTTCATATAGTATTGCATGGTATCGCGATGGTCAGCGTTTATCTTCCGATGGGTCTATTGTAGATGAGGGAACATCAGATCGTTTTTCTATCACTGTAGGAAATTCGTTCTATAATCTGACTATTGAGAATCTTGAAATTGAGGATGCAGGTGGATATGAATGCAGATATGTACTTGGTGACATGTCAGTACTTATACTCACACGCAGTCTTATTGTAAGCGAAACTGAATCATCTGATAATATGGATGCACTAAGTGTGTTCGCTATAGTTGGATTGTTGTCTGGCATTGTTTTGATAATTGGTATAGTTGGAGCAATTGCATGGAACAAGGGAAGAAAACAGGGTGAAACAGAAGGCCAAAGAGCCATGGAAGGCTAATTTAAAATACAGCTGTACTGTCAATAAATTTCAATGCAACGGTGAACAGTACCACGCAAATGATCGCAAAATTACTCGTTAATTACACATGTAATTTGCAGGTAGGGAGTACCACAGGTACGATAACATTCACCAGTACTATCAGAAACAGTACATTATGAAATAAAACTGTGAAAAATACAACCATCAGTACGAACTTAATAACTATCAGCAATGTGCATCTTTACATTGGCTCGGCAATGAAACTTTAAACCATCGTAATATAAAGAATGACGACTGCGATGACTTTAAGGTTTCTTTTTTTATAAAATGACATATATAGGCCTATATTATATATATATATGTATTATAGGCTTATATAAATTATTGTATGAGTCCAGATTCAAACATCTCATGTTACGTGACTAGCTTTATCATCGTTCTTGAGAAGAAAAATTCGAGCTTCTTGTGTAGTTTAGTAAGAGGACTATTTTGATATAAAAATGTTGGTTTGGACGGTAACAAAATGTTTTATCTTTGTATTTAATTTCTATTACATTTCTGATTGCTTTGAATGTTTACCGCTCAGAATAAAGTCGTTACATATCAAATTACTATTTTATTTGACTTTGAATTAGTTTAAGCAGTACAAAATAGAGATTAGTCTACTACTGCTTTTAAACATCATAAATATACACACAAAATAGAACTATGCACCACATCATTGGTATCGATAACTCGGTCAGTTGTGCCAAATCCTTGATCATATTTGTGATTAAAGGAAGAAGACGTTCCTTTCTATTTCGACGGATACGGAAATGACAGTGAAAAAATAACATAGCCAGGTCGAAGTTTGCAGCATATAGTTACGCGCACTCGGCATTAAGCAAGAATACAGTAGAGTAGGCCTACTGATCAAAACGTCAAAATTTTTAATCCAATATTTAATTATAATTACATTATTTTAATTTTATCTTTTTATTCTACTTATGTAGAATAAATATAATCTAATATACACTCCTATGCAGAAATGGTTGAAATTGTTTAAAATCACAGTTAAAAATAATGAAAATTATCCCAAAACAATGATAGGCCTACGGTATATTGTCAGCATTTTAATTAGCAAAGAACAAATAATGAAAGAATTATAAACTGCACATACAGACTGTACGCTACATAAATACGCTGTCATGCTTGTTATAACATACATAGGCCTGTTACATGCTTGTCAGCGGCTGGAAAATTGATACCGTACTTATTTTTCTGGAATTCTAGCGCCCTGTACAGGGGGTGGGTACAAGGGGAAAAAGCCTCTTTGGAGCCAGAGGGTTTCTGTTTCTTCATAGCCATAACATAGCTATAACAACTTTAGATGAGTAATACAATTAGTAATTTGACATTGCTTTCATTTAACAAAAATCACATAGAATTTTACCATGACACTGACACACTATCAGAGAGGTTGGGCCTAAATACACCTATAATAATCATCCTTAAAATTGTCATTAACATTAAAATTAACATTTTGAACAAAAATATAAAGGCTTGGTTAAAATACATTTTTATAAAAATTTCAATCCTTGACCAAGATTAAGATGAAGAAGAAACAAAGAAAAAGGAAGAACAAAAACTATAGGCCTAAACAAAAAGATGAGTTTTGAGTCTGGCCTTAAATAGGGAGATGGATGGAGATTCCCGTATATTAATGAGAAGGGTTCCAGAGTCTAGGAGCGGCGACCCTATAATAGCGCACACTATACGACTTCAGTTTGTGAATATGAGTAGAAAGTGTGGATGATCTAGCCGATACAGTACTTGATACCTCACACGACAATAACAACAATAAAAAACGGGGCATGTGCATAAAAAAAACTCATTCAATTCTGTGAAGATAGAAAGGTTAGCCTGTACCAATCTATGGACGGCAATCTGAGATGGTTTTAATTTAAAAATCTAAGTAATAAAGTATAGTAAATATCGTTTATAACATTTAAATTTTATTTATTTGTAAAGGCAATGACAATGATCAAAACAAGTCAGGCTGACGTATTTCAGGAAAATAATGTTGTTTTGAACCTAGTGATAGATACTCATCTACAACAAAGTGTGGAAATCGACTTCGTCTAATAACAAACTTAATTAGAAATAAATCGTGACTTGAATAAATATTGTACAGACAAATAGAGCTTAATAACTTGTTATTTTAATAAATAATAAGTCACTGACAAATCCCATGTCTTATGTAAACCCTTTGATGTGCGATTTTAGGCAAAGAATCCAACGTATTTCCTCAAAACGCCTTTCATTGGCAGACAATGAAATTCTTTTTATAATATAATACCTTATAACACACCTAAATAGTTCCTTGTCATATGATCAGTAGATTTTGTATCACGTGACATTTGTTATTTACACCATTCGTCACTAATCAAGAAAAGTTAAGTTTCATCCGTGCACTTTCTTTCTCCATTTGTTTCGTCTCATTGCAGGCCTCCACCTAATACAATGTTTTCATTGGTTGAAAGAAAATGGACTGTTCCATTTTGAGGAAAATAGTTAATTACCAAAATGTTGTTTGTGTTAAAAATGTTTAGAGGAAAGGTAGGTATACATTTTATTTTCTTAGAATATCAAATGACAAAGATCTAATTTAGATGTGTTATAAAACGAATAACGAATGTTTATGAGTGCAATGGGAAGACTATCTTTATGAGTTTAAAACTTGACTGTTCCATTCAACGAGACGGAGCCAAGTATAATATCCTATGATATTTTTCTGAAAACGCATATCGAGATAATATAATATACATATATAATTATATATATATATATATATATATATATATATTTAGGCTTATACATACATATAATTAATAACACAAGAACAAATTGCTCACTACGGCTTAGCTTGGAACTTGAATCCAACTGAAAGCTGTTGATACTTAAGATAGGGCGTATCACAAATCGGTTACATATATAAACATTTACCATTGTGCTGCTTGTTATTTTTGTAGTGTTTTCCATTCCTTATGATAAATCAAATCAAAAATAATAATTGAAGACATGGATGCCAAAAGAGGAACAGTGGTACCAAGAAGCAGGTGAGAACAATGATACCAACATGTAGAAGGGGGAACATAAATGCCAGAAAGTAAGAGGAAGATGGGACATGGAAGTCATAGTAATAAGTTGAAGGAGACTGATAATAGAAAGTAGACAAGAGAACTAATACCAAAAATAGGAGAGGGACATAAATACCAAAAATAAGTTCAAGTATGAGGAGATAGAGGCTTACCAACTAGTGGGAGGGGACAAATACCAATGAGTATGGTAGAAAAATAGGACTGATACCAAACTTAGAAGGGACAGTGATACCAGTATAAGTAGGAGGAGAAACTGATACCAACAAATATGATGTGGGGTGAAGTGGGAGGAAAAACTAATGAGTAGAACCCCTCCTTTGCGACACCCCTATTAAGGGGACACTTTTCCGTGAAACGACGGGAAATATATCTTTTAACACTACAGGACACCCATATTAAGAGGACGAGGGCACTGAGTGTCCAAAATGTTCAACACCAATTATTTTTTTCTTATTTTATTGTATCAAAACAACTACAGTAGTCTCAAAATAAGAAAAATTCATTCAACTTTATATTTTGAAACCTTTTGAGCAATAGATTAGATCCTTAGAGTGAACATCGGTATAGGCCTACTGCATGTTCTACTTTGTATAAACTAATCTCGTCGAATTTGACCCTTAGGATTCTAATCCATACGGGGTACCATAACATGCACACTTAATTATATGTCGTTACTCTATTCATGCTACATTCATCCAATAGAGAGCTGAATATTTAAAAATAATAATAATAATATTTGGTCACTGAAATAATGTTGCTTTAATTATATTTTTGCTGATTTCATATTATAAATGAATGCATTATAAGTTATTGCTTCATAAATTAGTTCTAATTCTAACTGATTCTTATGTCAATACAAATGAAATTATAAAACCCTATTAAATTGAAAATTTAACGTTTTTGGTTAGTGTCTCCTTAATAAGGGTAGCTCTATTCAAGGGGACACTTTTTTGATTCCCTATATGATATATATATATATATATATATATATATATATACAGTATATATATATATGATAATAATAAATAACCACAATAACAATAATAATAATAATAATAATAATAATAATAATAATAATAATAATAAATAATAATACTGTAATTGGTTCTTTAATGTATAGACGTTTACGGCCAAGGAGGAAACTAATAATAATAATAGGTAGAGCGACAGTCGACTTTCCGTGACCTTGATTTGACTTTTTCCCAAAATTCAAATACCCTTTCCTTGTAGCAGTATATACGTCTTGATTTTATTTTAAGGTGGTCCATTTATTATTATTGCTTAATCGGCGGTGTACACATAACTGTTGCAAAGGTGACATTGGTATTAAAAAAAATAATAATATTTTAATAATAATGAACTTGTTATTGTTGTGGTGATGGTGAATACGCATGAGTCAATATGTGACACATTCTTCTTTATGATAAGTATAAACCCACAGGTCTGGCGCCTTACAAGTCAGGGATTTAAGTGTAGACTTGTGGAATTGTCTTTGGATTACCGGTTGTAGTACGTTCGGCATCCTGGTTTACATCTAGACCTAGCCTGAATTTCTTAGTTAATTAGTTAAAACCAAAATGACTTTACTAAATAGTTTAGCCATAATACTTTTCAAATGTCAAGACATGTATATTGCAGACAGCAGATATGAACACTGCGAAAAAAATATAAAATTCAGTTATAGCTGGTCTTTTAAATACAATGACGTTATTGATAGTAAAATTACGTAAACAATTGATGAGATAACATTTGTGTATAATAATGCCTGTTCAATTTGTCCAAACGTCATTTAAAAAGAATAAATAAATAAATGCTGATTTTGATGATCTCATGAACACCTATGATTTTGAGACAAGGGCGCTTTTGTCAGTAGGTCAGATATTCAGGCTGTGACGGGATCCCGGCATAGTTATTATTTTACAAGTACCTCCGTAACGTCCGGCCATACAAGATGTACTAGTTTTCTGAGCATGCGTTTTCTTGAGAGGGTATATATGGGTTACCGGCAAACACTCATACAAGTTGAAGAACCGATTCACAATAGAATCGCCCGAATACGACTTAAACCATTATCTAACAGAGCTGGGGATTATAACATTATTATTATGGATTGTTTACGTGTTCCAATAATTATACTGAGCTTAATATGTACAGGCAGCCTTCTTCTGACACAAGCAGACGAGATGTTGTCTAACCAAATGGGCCTGCGCATAACGAGTCTCGGAGCTACAGAAACGATAAGATGTCTTAAAGAAAATCAAGGCAATAATTTGGTGGTTTGGAGTCACAAAGGAGAGCATGTTAGCATCAATGGTATTATATTTACTACTAATCAAGATCATCGGAACAGATATAGCGTCAAGGGGGACAGTGAGAGTGGACATTACAATCTACAAATACAAAATATAAAACATGAGGACACGGGAACGTGGGAGTGTAAATACGGACGATCCGAGAATATAGAAAACGTGATTAAAACCGTTGTGATTGTGATTCCACCAGACGAGGGTTTCCCGACGTGTGATATTTCAACCTCTCCATCTACAATACGTATTGGAGATCCATTTCAACTAACGTGTACCTCTAGTGGGGGTTTTCCAGCACCTACTCTCGTTTGGCGACGAGACGGAGTCGAATTATCACGAAAAAGCGATGGTGATGTTCTTGTATTGGATCGCGTAGCAGAACAGTCTGATTACAATGTGCGATATTCATGTGAATTAGAGAGCTTAGCTTTGCCTACTTCACCGACGTGCACGCAGCAAGTCATGGTTCTACCAACGGAGGCCCCGACATCACGAGGGGCAACGCAAACTGTGAGTACGTTACGGACAAAACCAACAGTTTTTACCACAAAACAACCAAATACAATAACGCAGAAATCAAACGTTCCTCCAGAACAACGCACCACAATGACAAATAGGCCGACAACAGCAATTTATGGGTCAGAAAAAATTACACGACCCACTGTTACGTCATCAGACTCTTCAAGCAGCAGTAACACTCCCAATGAGTCTCACCTTCCGGTAACAAATTCAAGAGAAAATCGTAATCAAATAACAGAAAGCGTAAGTCAAGAGGTTTCGTCGTCTAATATGTTTGACGCACTAACGGCATTTGGACTATTGAGTGGTGTTTTTCTTATATTGCTAATACTTATGGCTGTCTCGTGGCGCAGGGGGCATTCCAAGGCAATTAAGAAAGAAGAAGAAAAGATTACAGGTTCGACGGAAACGTTAACAGAAGAGAACCCTAACTGGGTCCGTCCCTACTCAACTATAACCCTCAACAGCTCGGCAACAACAGAAAGTGTGTACGACATCCCGCGAATGCCAAGCGTGTTCCGTACTTCGTACATAGACACATCGACAGGACAAGTGGTTTCAAGTATAGTAATAGACGATCCTAATAAACTCTACAAACACGAAGAAGTAGAGCATTATTATTCAAATATGCCTCTGTATTCAAAAGTGAAAAAGTAATTTAACGATAAAATTAATAGGTTATTTATGGCTAGTTAAATTAAGAAATCACACAAAAGTCAACTTATACACAATTTTAAATATATTGCGAGAGTAACTAAATTGTACAGTTTATTTAAAGCGACATGTTTTACCTCCTTGATTAATTGGTTTATTAAAGAAAGAAAAGGGGGTATAATCTAATGCTACAGTCAGTTTCTCTTCCCATAATAATAAACAAGATCTGGCACTTTCTCGTTAGTAAGATTCACTCGTAAGCCTACTATTACTGACATCATAATAGTACGCCTAACTATTACTGACATCATTACTAGTAAAACAGGCGCCTCGCTTCCACGGTGCTAGATTTGTGATATGAGTTACTGTAAATAACAAACATTGAATGTAAACTCATTAACGTCCGGACAATGATTAGAAACTGTCTAAGATAAGTATAGCTAAATGATTTTGATATAATTATGAATAATTATCATAGTGCCAAATATAATATAGTTTGAAAGGAGAATGTACGGTAAGTTATACAGTAAAGATAGCATTCATTCACCTAATGCTACACATTACTTGCAACATCAGCGAGGGATTTCCTTCTCTGTTCAATGCCATAGAATGTCATTCTACTACTACCAGAGCATAAGTACAAGAGGGAAAGTTCTTACACCTGATGAAGCGATTATTTCACAGTTAATTGTCCTTGATTTATGTACTTCATTTATGAACATAGAAATTCAAGTATTAAGTATACAATTATTAGATATGTTACTGTAAATAATTATTTATCAATGTATGATGTAAAGATTTTTCACTGTATATTTCAAAATAAAGTTAGAATCTTATTGTATTGAAGAAAACATATGTTTTGTTTTTTTTGGTTTTTTTTTAACCATTAACATTTCCCAAGCGTAATTCACCGGTCATAACTTTCAATAGAAAATTATAGAAAATAAAAAAACGTAAATTTATGTTTATCTTTATGAGGATGATGGCGATGATGATGATGATGATGATAATGAAAATGATGATGAAGTTAATGATGATGATGATAATTATGAAGAAGTAGAGGATGCTGATGATGATTTTAATGATGAAATGATGATGAAGATGATGATGTTGATGACGATAATGATGATGATGATGATGAAAGTGATGATAGATTTGATTATGCTGTATACTAGCATAATTATAAAATTAAAAACAGATGGCGGAGGAGCAACGAACAGCAAAAATTCCTGTAAAACCTTAAACAGATGCAAACATTAAGTGAGTTATTCAACAACAAAATACTCACATCAATTACATACAAACATAAAATCTTAAACAATATTGTTGAATAATATATAGGCCTAGACTATATATTTGATTAACATTGGTAGGTATTGACAAATACAAACAGAGATCACTATCATCATCCTCAACATGGTCATCATCATCTTTATCATCAAAATGATTATACAGCTCCACTATTAAGATTGGGTGTATCGACAACATGAGGGCAGTATGACCTGTTTTCGTTATGTCAGAACTTACTATCAAATTGAGAACGTCGGCATAGTCACTTGATGATACCGTCATCTCTGGGTATCTTCGTGGAACTGATACATCGGTGTATGTGGAAGAAGTAGAACGATTTGTTGAATGGTGTTCTGAGAATTATTTAAAACTAAACATAAGTAAGACAAAAGAAATCATAATATTTGGTACTAGGAGGAAAACTGGTGGTCATGAAATTAATGATAAAATGGGCTGCCTGTTGACCAAGTTAAAGAATTTAAATAGCTCGGTACTGTAATAGATAAATATTTAAGTTTTTGCTTCCACATTATTTCTATTTTTAAAAAATCTAATAAAAGGCTTTATTTTCTAAGAAAACTCAAACAATATGGTCGATGGTACATTTTTTAATTTATTTTATAAATCTGTTATTCAAAGCTTTGTGATGTTAAGCTTGCTTCCAATTTTCGGCGGTCGCTCCGAGGAGAATAAGAAATCACTTGAAAGAGTCGGGAAGCGTGCAGGCAACATTGTAGGCATCGACATTCCTCCAATTGATAGCATATAAGGAGAAATCAATTAGGAATGTTAAGTCAATTAGGCCTATTGATGAACGATCACACCCCCTCTATGTGTATTATATTTGTAATCGTTCAGATTTTGGTAATGGCCACTGAGAGCAAATCATGTACGCACAGGATGATCGTTTGTGCAAAATTCCTGTTACATTTTTAATGAGGATGTGAAAGGATGAAATCAAGACGGTATGTTGGCAGCCTCTGGATAGTAACTCTTTTAATTGTGCTTTTATAGTTTTATAGGCCTATTGATTTTTTTTTATCTAACATGAGCTCTGTTAGCGAGACGATTTTCTTAATTGTAATTAACAGTATTTGTATTAAGTTATATATTTTAGTGTGAGTGTCACGTGTTGATGAAATATATTAGTCAATTAATTTCCTTGCAGCACAATTAAATTTTCGATTTGCATATGATTAACATAGCCGGTGTTTTACGTTGCATGTGTAACGTAAACCGTTACACGTTCTCAGTTTATTTCGGGAAGTCGGGAACCTCGGAAGCTAGTACAGTATAGTTACAGCTTAAATTTCCATGGAAAATGATAGGGTATGCAGTTGGCAACCCATGTGGAGGTAGGCCCCGGGATAGCTAGAGAACTGGCGAAGTTGGTGAAACCGTTGGAGACGGTTTCTAGTGTTGAGTGGAACTATAGGTTCTACCATTCAATTCAAGTGGAATTGAAGATTGAACCCGAACTTGGGAACTGTGACGTAAGCGTTCCAGTGCGACCCAGAGTCGTAGAGGTGCTTGTTCGTGTTTGTACACACACGTGGATACAGTCTTTGTTCGGAAGACCAGAGTTCAATAGCAAGTTGTAACGCCCGTAGGAAACCGTGGCAGAAGCCGGTTCAGAGCGCCATGATTAAACCGCCATATCTTTTAACTAATAATAGGCCTAATCTTTTTTTTTTTTTTTTAATTTATTGTCATCCGTATTGTCACGTTTATTAAGTTAAAGCAGGGAAGTGATATATTTCCCTTGCTGAGGTGCCACATTTGAGAAAGGCAATTAAATTTCTTTATAATTGTAATTTCTTGTATATCTATTTTGTTGTGGTCTAGTGTTGTCAGATCCGGTAGCTCATCACATTCCCTCTTTACTATTGAATCAAATCACAGATGTAACAGTGAGTTATAAATAAACAAATTTCTTTTTCTACAAAACGACTTATAATAGAAGTTTAGTATGTGTTCGATGTATTAGCTCCTGACTTCCCCTCCCCCTCCCGTTTTCCCCCTTTTTTTCTGGGTGGTGACCTTTTCTTGTAGTCGGGTCTTTAGTGCTGCACCCAGATTGCAGTAATTAAATTTAGGTATATAGATTCGATGCTTCACTTGTTTAACTAAAGTTTTACAACTCTTTTATGTACGAATTATATTGTAATCACCTCTCTGAAGTATTTCAAGTGTTAGGTGTATGTCGAATGTAACAGTTTGAACCTATTATATTTATATATACTCTTTATATCCATTTTATATATTATATACTCTTTATATTTATCTTACATATTGTATATACTCTGTATATTTATCAATGGGGCAGCCTTATGTTCACATTATATAAAATGTTTAACTAATATAGCGGCATCGATGGGTGGCTGCCCCATTACACATTTTGAGTTAATTATATATTACATTGTTTTTCGTCATTGAATAAAATGACAATTTCCACCCAATTCGGTGTTTGCTATCTTTGTTTCGTCTTGTACTCTCCTTCTGCGACATAAACATGATTATACAGCTACACTATTAAGTTTTGGGTGTATCGACAACATGAGAGCAGTATGATCTATTTTCGTTATGTCGAAACTTACTTTTATCAAATTGAGAACGTCGACATAGTCACTTAAGGTATATATTTTGTTACTAATGCGAGTTATACGTAACCGATTTTTTTCCCTACAAAATTACTTCAAAAATATAATTAGGCCTCTTTCAAAAAATAACAAGGGAAATGGAATCACTGACTTATATTAGAATTTGTATGTATGTGTTCTATGTATCATTCACATCCAAAAAGATTCGCAAACGATTTGAGGGTCCGCTAGATCTTATATAGACCATTTTTCATGATTTTATTATTCCCGTATCATACAACAGAAACATCTTCTATCCATAATCTTAATGGTGGAATATCAACCATGCGTCGCCCTAAATTTTGCAAAAATGTAAAAACAATTGGGAATAATTGATAATGAAACATGCCAGTTTATGCCTGTATTAATTGGATTATTAAATAAAAACAATATTGTTGAATATTTGAAGATTTTGAAATATTATATATATAATAATACTAATAATAAGGAACTTGTAATTTCACTCTGCAGGCTGTTTCATGCACTAGGCAAACTTCAGGAGTGAAGGGAATTTCAAATTTGACGTGTATATGTAGAGTTGGGCCGGTGTAGATGCAAATTAGGTATTATGTGTTTTTGAGTAGGAATTTGGCACGATGTCTGCATTTTGAAAGGAGTTCGTGCCTTTTGTTCAAGGTAGATTGTTTGTCTGCATAAAGTATATGAAACTTTTCTGCGTTGCATAGATTGCATCGCTTTGTTTGGGTGAGTAGGATGAGGCTCTATCAATAATGGACCATTTGATATTGTTGTGTTTTGCTGTCTTTTAGTTTCCATATGAACTTTGAAAGTTCTGTGCTGTTTCTGTGTTTTGGTGCATTGAATGTGTGCTTATGATTTGTATATCGGGTTTTAAATGCGGTATCTGTGAGCCCGATGTAATGCTTCGATTCTTCGTTTGTTGAGCTTTGTAAATAATTGAGGAGGTGAGGCAGTTTCCTGAGAGTGGGCAATCTTCTTTAATCCGACAGTTGCATAGTTTGGTCGGTACTTGTTGTTTGGTGTGGAGAAGGTGGTTGTTGTGGGCTTTGATGGTGCTGCCCATGTTTCTTGTGCAACTGTAGCTAACTTTTACGTTGTTCTTGTT